TATATATATTTAAGCTAAGTGTGTAAGTGTGTGGTGCTGCACACCTGTCATCCCAGCACTGTGGGAGGCTGAGGCAGAAGGATCACCAATTCAAGCCCAATCTGGAGGGCCAGGGAGATAGCTCAGTAGAATAAGCACTTGCCTTGCAAGCCTAATCTGGGTAATTTAATGTCTTAGCAAGACCCTGTTTCAAAGTTTGAACATTTATTTTATTTTATTTTATTTTATCTTTGGTACCAGTGATCAAACTCAGGACCTTGTGCTTGCCAGGCTGCTTATGCTCCTGAGCTATTACCCTGACAAAAGATTGAAAATTTTATAAAAGGGCTGAGGATATAGGGATATAATGAGGAGGCCCTAGATTCAATCTCTAGTACAGGAAAAAAATTTAAGTCCATGAGCTAGAAAACTTAGCTGGCTCATGTTTTTATCTCTTACTCCTCTTGACTGAAATTCAGTCATAAAATGGAAGAAGAGTAGCTGTTTTGTAACTAGAAGGTCAAAATAACCATGGCAACATCATCACAACCTTTAGGTTAACCACCATCAAAGGTGGTCCTACAAGAAAATAATAGATCTAAACATTTTCTATCACCTAGTAATGCTGTAGTCACCCCAAAGTCATTGTAGTACAACATATTATTCACATTTGGGGTGGTGCTGATGTAAACAAATCTGTTGCACTGCTAGTTGTGTAAATGTACAGCCCAGGAAATTATGTATGGTGTATTACCGCACTAAACTTTTCAATATTATTTTCAAATGCAACACTTCTACTTCCTCAGGAGATGTTTACCATGGAATATTGTGCTGTGTTATGCCAGAAGCAGCTTCACACGCCTGTGTTCACAGTGTCTCTGGATTGCATCATTTTCCCTGCTCTGTAACCCTGTGCCCTTGGCCCCCACCCTCTCTCAGCCTGGGCCGCCTCACTGCAAATTAGGACACAGCTGTAGGCAGACCTCATAGACATGAGAGGAGGCAATGGAATGAGCCCCATAGTACATTTGGAGACAACTTGGCACACAGCAAGTGCTAGGAAAGAGCTGAGTCTGCCGACATTAAGAAGCCCACCCGAGCCCAGTCCTCCTACCTAAGGGCCAGTGCTTCTCCAGTTTGGCCTGAGAGTCACCTACCCCTAACCCCACTGAAGATTCTGGTTCATTGTGGGGCTGGAATGCAAAATCTATCCTATATGCAAGTCTCACCCATAGGCCACACTTGGGCGGATGGTGTTAGACAAACTCGGACACAGATCTCATGCAGTTTCCACCTGTGTGGCTTTGTACAGCTTTTGAAATATCTTAAGATCCTGGGCTGGTGAGATGGCTCAGTGGTCTAAAGCACCTACTTAGAACAAGCTTAGTCAAAGCACAGGGACCACGGTTCGACCCCCCAGCACCACATGCCAGCCAGCCCCGCCCGCTGTGGACTGAGCTGGCCACACACACACACACACACACACACACACAAATAAATAAATAAATAAATTTTTAAAAAAAAATATCTTAAGATCCTACTTTTTGGGGCTGGGGAGATGGCTCAGTGGAATAAGTGCTTCCCTGGCAAGTGCAAGGGCCTGAGTTCAATCCCTGGTTCTGAAAAAAAAAAAAAAGATTCTGCTTTTCTAAATCTGAAAAATAAACCTATTAATATTGGTAATACCCTCCAATGAAAGTGAAAAATACTTATGTAGAGGACATAAAAGTCAAAATCATACCCCAGTGTGCAAAGGTGTAGCGCACCTTATTTATCTACAACTTATATTAACATAGCCCACGACCTTGTGTTTCCACTAAGAGCAGAAAAAGTTCAGGCTGGAAAGTCCAGCACAACTCACTCCGATGACTTCCAGTTTTTTTTAAAAAAGTCTCTTGTGGGAAATTTTAACCAGAATGGGAATTCTCCTGCTGATTGTCTGGGTTCTCCAGGGCTTGCATAAGCACAGCTGGTCCTAGGCACTCAACAGGCCCAGTGGATGTCCACAGTGCCACCAAAGTGCTGGCTGTGTGGCCCCAGGGCTTGGCGTTCTTGCCCCTGCTTGAAGTCCCCTCACCTGCCAAGTCCCTTGTGTCTTTGCTCAGGGCTCTCAACAGTTGCCCTGCTGTGTTGAGCATGCACTGAGTCTCTTTCCTCAGCCATTTAATTTGCTGTGAGGATACCGAAGGGGCTACACTCCTTGCCTGGGGCTTGGTCATCCCAGACCTTCCTCCCACCTACTAGCCCAACAGCTTCTCGTTATAAGCTAAATGGAGGTATAGCAACCCTCTAGCTCTTTTTTGTTTAATTAGTTTTATTGGTACACTCTAGATATGCATAATGATCATATTCATCAAGAGGAATTTATATCAGGTCAAGATTTTTTTTTTTTTGTGGTACCGGGGATTGAACTCAGGACTTGTGCTTGCAAGGCAAGTGCTTATTCTACTGAGCTATCTCCCCAGCCCCCTCAAGATCTATCTTGATTCTTCTTTTTTCCCCTGACTCCCTCCCCTACCTTCAACCCCGCTTTCCTTATTTACAAAGGCTTTGTTTCCATCTATTCTTTTAAAAAATCCTTTCCTTCCTTTTCTCCCTCCTCCCTCCCTTGTTCCCCTTCCCATTTGAATGTTCTCCCTATTTCCCAATATCTATTATACATTTTGGTCCTTATTTACTGTTTTTGTTTCTCACACCAGAGAAACGACGTGATATTTAAACATGTGTGTCTGATTTATTTCACTTCAGAGTATGGTCTTAAGGTGCATCCAGGGGCTGGGGAGATGGCTCAGTGGAATAAGCGCTTCCCTGGCAAGCGCAAGGTGCATCCATCTGCCTAGAAATGTCTCAAGCTTCTCCTTCTTTGTGGCAGAGCAGTACTTCCTTGTATTTTTAAAACTCTTCTTTATCCATTCCTCTGTTCATGGGCTTTTGGCTGTTTCCAAGGTTTAGCTAACGGTGCTGCTATAAACATGGGTGTGCATATATTGCTGTGCTATGATGCTTTTAACTCTTTCAGAAAAATGCCAAGAAAAGGGGAAACTGAGTCAAATGGGGCCTGTAGTTTTTCTTTCTTTCTTTCTTTCTTTCTTTCTTTCTTTCTTTCTTTCTTTCTTTCTTTCTTTCTTTCTATTTTTTTGCGGAACCGGGATTGAACTGAGGCCCTTACACTTGCCAGGGAAGCACTTATTCCACTGAACCATCTCCCCGGCCCTCTTTTTTCTTTCATTCTTTCTTTTTTGTAATGTAGTTGGTACAAGGTCTCACTACATAGTCCAGACTCGCAGCTATCTTCCTGCTTTCAGTCTCCCCAGCACTGGGATTATAAGGGTGCGCCACCACTCCCAGTCTCCATGGCCAGCTCCACATGTGTGTGGGGGATGTGGTGTCAGGGATCAAACCCCTGTGCTTGCCTAAGTAGGCACTTAGTTTGCTGAGCTATCCCACCGGCCCTTTCTTTATATATAATTGATATTAGGTCTTTTTTTTAGGAAAGCTGGCAAAAAATTTTCCCATCCAGTAGTTTGTCTCTTCACACTGTTCTTTTGCTCATAAGAGACATGCCTACTTACCTCTGGCCTAGCCTGAAGGGCTAAATGGTCACCAGTGGCTTGTCCATATTCAGTTCTCAGATTAGTGACAGCCTCTGAGTGGGCACCTCTGATACGTGCTCCTGCCACCTCCCCGTGGGAAATGAGGCAGGCAGAGGTAGGGACTGTCTGTCTGGAATTACCTTTCTCTCAAAGGTCCAGAAATGCCCCTAGCAGGGGTCTCCTTTAGATCGAACACTGTCCCCTGCATGGTCATGTTAAATGTCAGTACTCCTGGGACAAAATATATTTCGGTAGCTATCCAGGGGTGAGACATCTATTCTGGCCCTAAGATTCCTGAAGATGGCTAGGCCTGCAGGCCCCTCATTTCCTGAAGGGAGGGAAATGGGAGGAGCGAAGAGCGGTGGCTCACATGTCAAGCTGCCTCTGGGGATGCAGAGCAACCCTTTGTTTCCTACTCAGCACTGAACACACAATGCCAGAGGTGACAAAGTCTGTTCAAACTTGCGTTTATTTCTCTGCATTCTGGGCAAGGGTGTGGGAAGGGGATGCATAACCTGAATTTTAGAAGGAGCCCCAGGACTTGGGCAGGAGGCGGATTTTGCCTGTTCTACCCTCAATAGTGCTGCTAGTAGGGGTGATTCAGAGTGTGCTCCATTATGGTCCGCAATGCCACCCATGTCTCCTGGGCTGTGGGGATGATCTGTGTAGCTGGTAGCAGGAAGCCATAGCGCCCCGTGTCTCGGAGCTCAAAGGTAAAGGCGTACTTGATGCCACTGTCATAGGCCCAGTCCACAGTGACTCCACTGGCCACATCTAGAAACAAAAAGCCCCCAAAATTCTTTCAAAGGAAGGAGCAGATGGGGTGTCAGGGTACAGGAGCATCACACTTGGTAAGTGGACCCTGAGAGCCAAATCCCCACCCAGCCCAAACCACATCACACTTCCTGGCACAGGTTTTACCCTGGGTCATGCCCTGCCTAACTAGCCCACATCTTCCCTTACAAACAGAAAGCGCCAGAGGCCACCAAGCTCAGGCCCTTTCCCCACAAGGAACTCTGCAGCAAGCCAGGCTTTAGGAGCTGTGCCAATTTGACACCACTGAGGAGCAGGTGCTTGGGAGCCATCGTCCACCCTTCCCTCTAGCTGCAGCAGCAGCTTTAGACCTGTGGCGCTGCTTTGTGGCCCGCCAGCCCATCAGTAAGCTTGGTTGACCTGTGCCTGACCCCAGGTAGATGTGGCACCTGGGGCAGCAGTCAGGGAGGCTCACTCACAGAGGGTGGTGCTGATGCTGCCAAAAATGTACTTGATCCCGTGCACCTTGTACAGAGCCTTTACTGCATCCTTGGCAAGACTGTACTGCAAGACAACAGCAGAGAGGGGGTACCCGAGGCTCCAAGTGGTTCCCACACTCCCCGAATCCTCAGCAGCTGGTGAGAAGTACAGACTTAGTCCCAGACTTTGATGGTGCAGACAGCTCTTTTTTGAGAAGAGAATGCAACACCTCTGGCTTTGAACTTGATGTCAGAGAAAAACAAGCTTCCCATCCTTCCAAGTATATAGTCTTCCAAGTAAGCAGTCAGACCCTCATTTGGAGGAATGAGAGCCTGAACCCCCTGGAAATGTGTTAGATAGAGGTTTTCATGGGAAGAAGTCTCCTCCCCCATGCCCTAAGCCACCAACATTACCAGTTCCTTTTGGTTTGAGATAGGTTCCACAGAGTGGCCATATGGATACATGAGCATCTGAGAGTAGCTGTGGATGGAGATCAGAGCCTTGAAGTTCCCATGGCTTGTGATGAAGTCCACAATGGCAGCCACCTCTGGCTCTGACTGAGGTGAGGGCCCATGGTAAGTCTCTGAGCAGGGGTTGCTGTTAGAACCATTTCCTGGAAGTAAAATAAAGCCACTCAAAAAAAAAAAAAAAAAAATTGGAATTCCCAGGTGTGGCAGAGACAGTCCTCACAAAATATTCATGGTTCCTGGTGTTTCCCAGCCTCCTTTGCAGTTTGTGACAACGTCTGACCCATGAAAATGAGTATAAATGATGTATCCTTTCTGGATTGAGTCTGTGAAGAGCACGAATGACTTGCACACTCTATTTAGTTTGTAAGGTTGGAAGCAAAACATTTTAGATAAAAGTAGCATCCCAGGTCCCTCTGCCACCACTAGAAGAGAGCTGTCAAGGAGAGTCACCTGCCCACTTTGGATTTTGCATGCATGCAAAATGAACTTTCATTATGTTAAGCCGTTGAGATTTGGAAGGAGTACTTGTTACTGCTGCACACCCACGTCTCATAGATCAGAGATGCACAGCCACACTATGATGTAGTGTCATGGTTTGTGTCTAGATGTTCCTACCCCCACCAAAGCCTCATACAGTCATGGGGGAGGAGGGTGCTTTTCAGAGGTGGCTGGATCTAGAATGTGTGGTGCTGGGATTCAGGGTATGTGATTAGCAAATTAGTCCACTGATTGGTCTGGTATAGTTCTGGCTAGGATTAAAACAGGGAGTGCTGGGCTGGGGAGATGGCTCAGTAGGATAAGCGCTTGACTGGCAAACGCAAGGATCTGAGTTCAATCCCTGGTTCTGAAAAAAAAAAAAAAAAAAAAAACCAACAACTGGGACTGCTGTACCCACCCTAGGGCCGGTAGCCTGCATACAATAGAAGGGACAGAAGGAAGCTTGTCCTTCCCTCCCTTGTTGCTTTTGCTGTCTTATGGGTGCCATGAACTATTCTTCTCTGTGATGGCCCACTGCCAAGACACCTTGACATGGAGCCATCTGGTTGTGGTCTGAAACCTCTGTAAACTGTGAGCTAAATAAATCTCTCCCCTTTTAACTTTGGGTGTCAGATATTTTGTCTTAGCAACAAGAGAAGGTAAGATACCCTGCAACTAAGTAAAGAAAGGACAGCCCAGCAAGAAGTTCTGGGGTTGTCCTTTGGGTACATCCTGATTGGGGTTCCCTAGAAAGATAGGCCTGCCTCAAAAGCTACACTGGAGGTCTCCGCCCCATTTCCACCTGTCCCTGAGCAGTGGTGTATCTGGCCAACCCTTCTTGAGTTCACTGTTAAACACTTGGACTTGATGTCCAGTCAAGCTGTGACCCAGTCGTGGCCACAAGAGCTCCATGAACTTGCAGACCAGAAAAGGATAAGTCACCTCCCCATCATTGCCTCATGCGGCTCTGAGAACCATGTGTGCAAAGTAGACTTTGAAAGTTCTGCTTGGGGCCTATGTGGAGGAATAGGCAAAAAGGAAATGTGCTTCTAGTTTTTGATAAGTTAAATTTGTTCCCATGTCCTGTTCACTTCCTTCCTTCCTCTTTCACTCTTCTTAAGCTTCCAGCCTCTCTCTCTAAGGGCCATGTTCAGGAGGGCTGGTAGGGTTGGACAAGATTTGTGGGCTATGGACACATGGGGAAGAAGCCATCAGCCAGGCCCTCATTCCCCTCCTCCTTTCTGAAATAGCTTCACCGAAGCCCAAGTCAAAGGGTAGGGATTCCAAGTTCTGAATCCACCTGAGGATACCAGAGAACCCTTTTTGCCCATGATCAGCAGACCAGCCTGGTAACCAGATTAGATGAGGCTGGGCAATGTGGCAGACTGGTCCTCACAAGGGCAGAAGGTGAAAGGCAAGGTCTCCAGACTACTCCTGACACAGCCACTAAATCAAGGCAATAGTAAAGCCAGGAACAAAATCTTCCCACCTGAGTCACCAGCCCACAGGCCAAACTGTCACCTGAGAGCCCATCCCCTTTTAGTTGGCCCTCCATGCCTGTGTGAGAGGACCTTGAGAAAGGGACAAGACTGCCATGAACAAAGGGTGAGGGGCAGCCCCCAGGCTGGTGTGGGCCTGGCTAACAGTGGCCGTGGTTGTTGTGTCTGCCCTGAGCTCCTGCACCTGCTTCCCCTGATGAATGACAAATAGCAACAGATGAGCCTAGTGAATGGGGAGGAGTAGGGAGCGAGAGGAGCAGAGGAGCGAGGAGCAAGCGGAGGAGGCTGAGAGCTTTGTCTGCGTTTGCAGCCCACGCAGCAAAGCGGTTCCCCTGCCAACAACCAGGTGGCTTTGCCCAAATATGGAGAAACACTTCAGGCCATTAGTTCTGGTTTGAGCTAAGCAGAATAAACTAATCTTCCCTTGACCAAATGGGAATTAGCTGCCTGCTTCTTTGACGTTCAGTCAAGGTCCTCTGAGCCTGCCTGTTTCACAAGTACCTGCTAATGGATTCATTAGCTATTTATTTTTCCTTCTCTAAAAATGTAATTTGTAGCAAAGGGAAATCTCTGGAAGGACATGGTAAATTATTAAAAGCAGTAATCTTTGGGTAGTGGGATTATGGGAGCTTTTTGGCCCCTCTGGGCTTTTTTTTTTTTTTTT